TTACGGGCCATGGTCCAAACCACTTGGGAAGCAGTTTGCGTGAAACATCCTGTTCTAGTGCAAACTCTTCCGCGGAGACCCAAACCAGATCACCGGCGCGGATGGGACATGGCATGCGACACCTGTTGGCTTGCTGCTGCATGCGGACTTGAGCCTTTTGCATATTCGTGCGGGCTTGAGCCAGCAATTCCCTGTACTTCCGGACAGAAGCGGGAGAGCAAGCGGCATCGATGTCAGCTGGTCGTGGGAGGAGAAGGTCGGCGAAGATACGACCTTTCCGTCCACCGTGGTGCAACTCGAATGGAGTCACGCCGATCGCCGGGTGCACCGAAGTGTTGTAGGCGAACTCGATGTCGGGGAGGCGGTCAACCCAATCTTTCTGGTCCGGATGGATGAGCGTACGAAGCATCATTTGAGCGGTTTGATGTGCCCGCTCCGTTTGCCCATCCGTCTGCGGATGCCGAGCCGGACTTGGTTTCATCTTTGTGCCGGACTCCTGCATGAGAGCAGTCCAAAATGTCGACATGAAGCGAGTGTCGCGGTCGCTGACTATGTCTTCCGGTACACCGTGGCCGCAAATCCAACCGGTGTGCAAGAGGCGTGCCAGCTCGGGAGCCGTGGAGTAGTACTTGCAAGGGAGAAAACGCGCAAATGGTCCACAACTGTGAGGATGCCGTCGTGCCCGAGGCGATCGCGGGGAAATGGTCCGGTGACATCCATGGCAATGGAGAGGCCGGGTTCCCGTGGGATAGGCATCGGGCGCAACTCGCCGTAGGGGTTGCGATTGCGGGGCTTGCTTCGTCGGCAAACTTCGCAAGAGTCACAATACGGAGTGACATCGGTAATGAGGTCGGGCCATCGAAAACGTTGTCGAAGCCGTGCAATAGTGCGGTTGACTCCGAAATGGCTGGCGAGTCGCGAGTCATGGTACTCCCCGAGAAGGCGAGTCTGAAGACGACGGTCTCGTGGGACACACAATAAGTCCTTGCCTCTTGAGTGGAGGAGCAAGTACCCGTCGGCAATGCGATAGTGGCTGGCCGGTGGGTGATCCGAAGATAGTTGCGCATACAACGTGGCGAAGTCCGGATCAAACTCATAGCCCCGGATGAAGTGTCGCTGGAGTTCCTCGTCGAATGCGAAGGCATGATGTGTCATAGCGCAAAGATCGGGTCTTCGCGAGAGTGCATCTGTCGCGCGATTGGAGAGGCCGGGAAGGTGTTTCGGTGTGAAGTCAAATTGGTCGATGAAGTACATCCATCGTCCGATCGTGCTGCTCACCGTATCCTGCGTCTTGTAGTAGGTCAACGGGTTGTTGTCCGTGACCCATGTGAACCTTCGACGCCCAAGGAGGAAGTGCCGCCATCGCTTGAGAGCCATCACGAACGCGAGCAGCTCCTTCTTCCTTGCATCATCAAGCGAATTGATGGGAGGCACTTTGTGGCTGAAATACTCCACAGGGTGCCAGTCGTCGCCGTCGTGT